CTGCCTCAGCCTCCCGAGTACTGGGATTACAGGCGTGCGCCACCACGCCCGGCCAAGCATTTCTTCTGTCTTGCGATCAGGTGGAGGCTGATAGAAGCCCCAACCAGTGTAGGAAAAAGCGTCTACCTTGTTCTCCGGTCAAGTGCCTCTTGGCCAGCAAGCAAAGCCCTGAGACTTGGGCCCTGCCTTGCAGAATCCACTGAAGCTTATCCTGGTTTCAGTTTCCCCAGGATCTTATGCTGGCCCTGAGCCTCCTTCCGGTGACTGTTACATCAGCAAGGTGCCGAGTGGTGCAGCGGAAGCTCCAGGGCTGCACCCAGATCCCTTTACTGAACCAGCCACATTAGGGCTGGGCGGGCTTTCTTTAGAGAATTGCCCCGGCTGAAGGGAGCCCCTCTCCTCTACTCTCAAGGGGAGCAGCCCCTCGCCAATGAATGACAGGTGCAAGGTGCAGAATCTTAGCCTCATTGCTCCAGGTGAGTTGGAGGATCCAGTGCCATTCCTTCTTCAGCACTCTGTGGATTGGGCAGAGGCTACAGGGCCTGAGACCGCCTGCATGCCAAACACCTTCCTGTCCAGCGCCTGTCTCCTGCGAGCCTCCTATCTCCCCATTAACTAACTACACACACTTGGATTCCCATCTCAGGCTGAGCAACATGACCTAAGCCAGGGCCTGTACAAATACTGACTTTTCTTCTTTCTTTCTTTCTTTTTTTTTTTTTTTCTGGCCTTTTTGAGATAGGGCTTTATTATTTAGTTCAGGGTGGCCTTGAACTTGCTATGTGGCCCAGGCTGGCCTCAAACTCACAGCAATCCTGCTGCCTCAGCCTCCAAAGCGCTGGGATTACAGGTGTCCACCACCATGCCCAGTACTGACTTTTCAAGACTGAAAAGCAAAAGCCCAATCCTCCTGTTGTAGGTGGGGGTGGGGCTTAGGGGAGCTAGACCCATAGGTTTGGGGGCACCAAGGAGACAAGGACAGAGATTAGGCTGTTCCTTCAGACCAAGGAGAGATAGGTTCAAGAAGAAGGCAGGACAAGCCTGAGCACCCCCTGGGTTGTGGAGGAGTGGACACAGGTGTGTGGGCTGGCTCACCTGCTTGGACATGGAGTCGATGAGACGTACGTAGAGGTCCTGCTCTGTCCGAAGCCCTAGGTTGGGAAGGTGGACAACACTTTCTGTCAGGGGAACACCAGGGACCTCTACTGTCTGCCCATGGAAAACCCTCCCTAGCCCCATGAGGGGGCAGTATGTGTAGTGCTGCGCTGTGGTAAGGCCCAGAGGGGCATGGCTTTAGCTTACCATTGTTATATACCAGCCGGAGGCGGTAATGGATTCCATTGTTTGTCTTCTCTGCCCCAGGTTCCTGTAGGGACAAGACAGGAGGATACTCAGGTGCTGGGGACCCTCCAGCCTCTTTCCCTCCCTTCAGCCTTTCACACACCTGTGTTCACTCCTCTACAACCCATCCACTCACTCATGTGCCCCTCAGTATATGTATGTGTGTGTGTGTGTGTGTGTGTGTGTGTGTTCATGAGCGCGCGCGCATGCATGCACCCATGCATGCACCCAAGCGAGTGTCCCTGAAGCCCTCCCACTCTCCCAGCACCAGCCCCAAGCAAGCCCACGAGCCTCTCACTCGGTCCTTTTCCACGAAGTCGATGAACGCTGTGCGCTCAACCTCCACAGGCTGCCCCTGCCGGTCATACATGGCCAGTACGAAGTGGAAGAAGTTGGATTTCCTGAGGTTGGAGGGGGGCTGCTTCTCAAAATGTGCTCGAGCCAGGCCCACGCCACTGTGGAAGGAAAAGAGCTGGAAAACCACCAGAGAGACCTTTGGGTGAGGAAGACCCCAGAGCCTCTGGGCAGGTAGGTGGGCTGGTCAGGACTTGGCTCCAACATGTCAAGAGTTTGGGCAAGAAATGGAGGTGGATGGGTTCTAGAGACCACCCACCTGGCCTCTTGGTTCCAGGAAGAGGAGCAGCAGCACCAAGGCCATCCCAACTCACTCCCTGGGAACACAGGGCACAGCAGGTCTACATGGAGCCAGCCTGTCAGGCTCCCACCCACATTTTGCAAGGCTGATCTTCAAAATCAAATGTATAAACCAGTCCATCTTACTGATCGGAGGCTTCTGGGATTGCCTCTTAGGGTATGGAAGGGGACCAGGGAGGCCCAGGAATAAAATTCCCATTGAACTTTAGTCTGTGGCTGAGGACAGCATGAGCCTGTGGCACTGCCTGGGAAATGATATTCACCAGACTACCAGTGACATGGGGTTGGGTCCAGGCCGCAAGTGTGCCTAGCCTGGATGCTGGGCTGCGGCTGAAGGTGGGCAAGACAAGAATCCCCTCCTCAGGTATAGAGGGAGCTGCCTCCTCAGAACCATTCCCAGAGGCAAGGCCAAGGAGAGCAGGGGGAGGAGAAGAGCCAAGGCTCCCTTTGCCAGGTGTTTCTTGAGCTTCAAGGGTGTACCCAACTCTGGACATGGGCAACAGGTGGGGCTCGAATTAAATGATGGAAGAGAGAGGAATATTGAGAGAGAGCTGGGACACTGGACAAAACAGGATCAAAAGATGTCACTACGTAAAAAACTACAGGAGCAAAGGAAGACAAAATTAATTCTTTTTTTGTGGGAGATGAGGATAAGATTTCCTGGAGATGATGGGTTTTCCCCTGGTCTTTGAGGAATCTATAGGAACTCAACTGGTGGAGGAGGCAAAGGGTAGAACATATAGCCTAAGAATATGCAGCCATAGGTTTCAAAAAGTGAAGTGAGAACCAGGTGCAGTAGTGTGCCAGTAGTCATAAGTACTTGGGAGGCTGAGGCAGGAGGATCACTTGAGCTCACCAGTTGGAGACCAGCCTGGGGAGCACAAGATCCTTTTCAAAAAAAAAAAAAGTGAAGTTTGGGAATTTCCTGTCAGTTCATACAAGGACACAAACCCCATGGTAAACTTTTAAACTTTCTCTGGGTCAGGGTCTCCAAAGCCTGTCCTTTCGCTGGCTCATGGCTTTCAATCCTCCCCTTTGGAAAGGGTGCTGTGGCCATAACTGCTGGGAGATGTGGCTTTGTAGCACTCAGGGGAGTCTTTGGGGGCCTTGAAGCACTGTCTAGGAATGGACCAGCTTGAGTTCAGGATGCTGCTCCCCATGTGTTAAGTAGCTAGGCTCCAGGATGGTTCCCAAGGATCCCCACCTCCTCGGACTCATGCCCTTGGGGAGTCCCCTTTCATAGTGGATCAGGATTGGTCTGTGTGGCCAATAGGAAATGTTAGAAATGACAGCGTATAAATTCCAAGGCTGGATCATAAAAGCACTGTAGCTTCTGCCTTGTTCTTTCTCTTGGATCATCATTCAGGGAGAGCCATATGCCACCTTAGGAGGGTATCGAGCTGCCCTAGGGTGAGGCCATGCAAAAGAACAGAACCTCTGCTCAACAACCAGCATTAACTTGCCAGCAGATCCTCCAGGCTTGACTAAGACTGCTGACGACTGCATCCCCTGCAGCCTCCGGACAGAACTTGGGTCAGAACCACCCCATGTGCAGCCCCCTGATTCCTGCCTCTCAGCAACTGTGTGAAACAAATCGGTGTTGGTTGTTTTTAAGCTCCTGTGTCTGGGGGTAATTACTTTATGCAGGAACAGACAATGAATGCACCTCCTTCCTCCAGTATGAACATTTCTGTTGAGGAATGTATTTGGGAAACACCACTGAAGGCCACTGGACGGCTCTGAAGCAGGGCAGAGCTTAGGAAGAGGCCGCAGGTGAGCGGGTGCAGAGGACAATGAGAGGCCGCTGCAGCAATGAGGAGAGGAGAGAGGCTGAGGACGGTGGAACTGTCCACCCCCATGCTCATCAGGGGCACCTGTGACAATGGCTGCCAAGTCCACTTCTTAGGGTTTTTCTCCATGTAATTCACAATCTACCTACTCTGCTCCTTGGCTTCACACTAAGTCATGGTATCTGGAATGTCATGGGTATGAAGGGCTTGCTAAACTGCTACTCATACAGACTACAATAAACAATAAAATGAAAACCATTCCACCTCTTGAAAGCCTGCTTGGGAGCCACAGGGGCCACATACAATGAAGGGTCTTCTGTCCCCGAGCAAGGTGAGGGGGCAGGGCCACCAACATTCTTCCCTACCCAAGTTCCTTTTTCTAGAGGCATCCCCCTCCCTTCTTTCCTCCCCATTTCCTCCCCCTTAGCTGCCATTCTTCCCAGTGGAGGCCTTGACCAGCCCCTCCACCTGCTTCCCTAACCTGCTGAGAGCAGGGAAGCCCTGAGAGGGCTTTCGATCTCAGCAGGTCCCTGATTGCTGTTGATGAATATGCTAATGAGGCACCAACCCTGAGCTCCCAGCTCCCAGAGCCAGCTTGGCTTGAACTCCACCAGGAAGAGGCTCTAGGACCACCTAGGGAGAAAGAAGCCCAAGGCGGTGGTCTTATGGTGCAACCCCAGGCCACTGCTACCTTTTATTCTATGATTTTGAGCCTAGAAGGCTCTCAGACCTTGGAGAAGGTGAATACAGAGAAAAAAGGCCTTGGCAGAGAAGGGCTGGATGCTAAGGAACAACAGAAGCCCCTGGACAATACAAAATGTACTTTCTATGCAGATGCCTTTGCGTGCCCGGTCCAAATGCCACACCGGTACAGCCAGTCAACTTTGCTAGCCTGAACTTCCCCTTCCTTCCACCCACCCCCCTTGGCAAATATCAGTCAGTCCTGGGTCCTGGCTGCCCCCATCTCCTGCTGGGCTCTTGAGGATCAGACCTGGGAAGTCTGGCCTAAGCCTCAAAGCAAACTCCCTTCACTGGGTCCGTCCTTTCCATAGGAGAGGTTTCTGGGGACAGAGCACAGGGACCATGGGAGGAGAGCACAGTAGGTTCCTTTGGAGCCTGTGAACCAGTGTCTCCTGCTGCTGGCTGGATCATGGAGGCGCTGTGCCACGTCACATGCTTGTACCCTTCCCCACAGCTCTCCTTCCCCGGCACCCTTCCCCCCAGAGGTCAGAGGCACAATCACCTGCCCAGCCTCACAGGAATCCAGGGGACAGCACTGACTAGGTTATGTCTCCAGGACAGGAACACTATCAGCGATGACCACGGAGCTGAACTAATGACTGCCTCTCCTGCTTCAGCCCATGCTGACTATAGAAGGGGCAAGACTCCTCTGGCCACACAGGCTGCCCTTTGCCTGGGAAGGTCCGTCGGTCTTCTATTGACCCTGTCCAGGCCCCTGTAGGGCTTGAGAGGAGATTAAGGTAAAAGGAGAAAGTGTTTTGCTCTAAGGAGAGTCTAGTGTGTCCTATAAGAGACAGACTGACACCAGGCACAGCCTCAAGGGTGGAACAGGAAGCAAGAGAAAACAAGCAGGCTGGACTGTGCCTTCCTTCCCTGCTTGCTCCCAAGGCCCCTCCGCCCCCTGCTGCAGGTGATGGATCAACACCTGTTGAAGGCCCCAAAGGGACAGGGGTGGGTAGGAGGAAGGAGAGAGCTTTGCTTTTCTTCCCTAGGGAGAAGCTGATGCTCTTAGGGTGAGAAAACAAACCAAGATGAAAGAACAGAAAGAAAGAAAGAAACAGAGGTAGGCACAGACAACTCAAGAGGCATGCAGAGGTCAGAGGCCCTGATCTATGCGTCCTGGGTACCGGTGTGTAGGACACAGGTGAAAGGTGAGGCACTGTCTGCTTTCAGACCAGTTTAGAGACAGAGGAACATAAAGGTCAATGTCTCTGGTTCTGTGATCTTCAAAGTGGAGCTGTCCAAGACAGCCATTGAGACATATGGAGAAACTTCCAGATGTCTAAAAGAAAGCCAAGTGTGACAGCACACATCTCTAATCCCAGCACTTGAGAAGCAGAGACAGGAGGATTGTGAATTTGAGGTCAGCCTGAGCTACATAGTGAAACCCTGTCTAAAAAAAAGAAAAAGAAAGAGGAAGAAGGCAGGCAGGCAGGAAGGGTGGGTGGGTGCAGGGAAGAGAAAAAGAGCCCTTGAAGCCTGCAGAGCAAGTATTTCATTTGGGTTCCCTTTAGAAGCAGACCCTGAGGGCTGGGGATATAGGTTAGCAGCACAAGCACCTGCCTGGCAAGCACAAGGTCCTGAGTTGAATTCTTGGTACCAAAAAAAAAAAAAAAAAAAAAGCAAGCAGACCCTGAGACACAAAGTCAAATACCAACAGTTCATTTGGACAGTGATTCCAGGAACCTCTGGGGAGGGAGGGAGGGAAGAAGGGAGAGAGAGAGAGAGGGAAGGAGATGGAGATGGAGAGGGAGAGGAACAGAGAATGAGAAGACAGCCTATCAAGGGGCATTTTCAGCTGGGCATGTTGGCATATGCCTGTAATCCCAGCACTCAGGAGGCTGAGGCAGGAGGATCATTGCGAGTTCAAGACCAGCCTGAGCTACAAAGTGAGCTCAAGGCCAGCCTGAACTGCATAGGGAGATCCTGTCTCAAAAAAGACAAAAAATAAAAAAATAAAGGGGCATTTTCAACAACAAGCCACCTCAGTGAGACATGGTGAGGGAGCTGGGGTGTTTGCCCAGCAACTCCAGTTAGCCACTGATGGCTTCTAGAATTGTTATTCTCTGGCACTTTTGCCCTGCTGTACAAGTGCGCAGAGCAGGCTCTGGACTCTTAAGCAGGTCCTCAAACAAAGGGCAGCAGATGCTGGCAGGAGAAGCAGACTCTTTATCAAGGGTCCTGAGGAGCAAAGGGTGGGTACCAGCTACCCGCCATCCGGAGGCGGGGGATATGAAGGAAGCCAGCAAAGCTAGAGCCCCAAGCGCCTT